GGGGATGTTCTGCCCGAGGAAACCCAGGGGCCTGGACATGGGGGTTTGTGTGATGAGCAATCTTGTCCAGGAGGTGGAGCAGTGAGCTGTGGGCAGTGCCTGGGCCAGCACTGGGGCTGTAAGGGACTGACCGCGGAGCTTAATGGCCAGGTGGCCAGAGAGGAAGGTGAGGCTGTGCAATTGGGTTAGCAGCACCATGGGCCAGCAGGGGATAGAGGCGTGGGGTGGGCATGCGGGCTTTCATCCTTGGGCGGGTGCATCAGTCTTTGGTGGGGAGGAAGGAATCAGTCTTGGGGTCGGGGTTTGCAGCCTGGGGACAGGAGCTTCAGGGCCTTGGAGCGGTGTCACTGATGGGGTACCCACAAGCGACAGCCACTATCCAGAGCATGGTGGCTCTGAGCAGGGGTTGGGGGACATGGAGGAGCAGGACCTGGACAGCAGGCTGGCGGGCAGGTCCCCTTGCAGGTCACTGCCTTCCTTGGGACCCTGGGACCCTGACTGCTGGAAAACAAAGCAGACCTCCAGCACAGCCTCTGCGAGGTCAGTGTGCTCTTTGCTGGGCACCAGGGCCCCCAGTTCGCAGCTGCCCCCAAGGAGCAGGGCTCCCCCCAAGGAGCAGGGCTCCCCCAAGGCTCTGCTGGGGGACTCAGGCTGGCCATGGGCTCTCCGGTACCCACCTCCTCCGGCTCCTCCTCACGCAGGCGACTGGCCTTGGTGTAGTCCAGGGGCCCGTCCCACTCATCCTGGCGGGAGGCCTGGCTGGACTGGGGCGAGGTCATGGAGCTGCTGGTGGTGCTGGCGCTGCCTTGGCGTGGGGCCACATCCGGTGACTTCATGCCCGGGCTGCTGCTGCCGGGGAGGGTGCCGTCACGCCGGCGGTGCTTGTGCATGCTCAGGTCCAGGGTCCCGTTCTCGTCCACCTCAATGTCCACGGGCTGCAGTCGGAGAGGAAAGTATGCAAGGGCCCAGCCAGCTTCTCGGGCAGTGGGAGGACTAAGTCCCTGGAGTGACAGGGCCAATGCCCAGCTTCCTTACTCCAACAGTGTGATTCTGAGACCTGTGTGATGGGACTGGAACCCAGAGCCAAGGGTGCCTGCACACAGCCCCGACTCAGCCAGGAACGCGGTGTGTATACCGTCCTCAGACTCAGGACATGGCATGTGCCCGACCCTGAGACTCAGTCAGGGTCACGGTGCCAGTGATGTGTGCAGGGATGCAGCATGAGCTCAGCCATCTGGTCACACATAGGGACGACACAGGGCATACTCTCTTGACGGTGGGGGGTTGGGAGTGTGCAGAAGAGAGGGCAGACAGCAGGGGGGCAGACCCACCTTTCCTGGCAGGTCCTGCGGCTTGGTGCTGAGGTTCTCAGGCATCTCCCAGCAGCGTGTGGAGAGGTTCAGGATGGCTGTGGCAGCCATGTGAGCAGCCTCGGCATCATGCGAGTAGTCGAAGCCTGTAGGAGAGGGGACACCTTGTTGTTGTACCTCAGGGAGAGCCCTTTGGGGAGGAGGCCTGGGGTGAGGGGGCGGCCTTTGAGGAGATTTCAGGGGAGAGGCCCTTTGGGGAGGCTGTGACTGAAGAAGGAGCCCCCAGGGGTGGCAGTGGGAGGGGACACAGTCAGACAGAGGCAGCCTTGCTCCTGGCCACAGGCCAGGGTCAAGCTGGGAAAAAGTGTGACCCTCCAAGGCAGGGCAGCTGTCCTGACCCCTCAGACACACAGCCCCGCCCCAGCTCCATAAGATAATCACTGGGCATCTCCGAGCTATCTGGACTTGTGGCTGCCCCATGGGCGGTAGGGCATGATGCCCCACAGGCTTCTGGTGGCACCTTTCCTGTAGAATCACAGAAAACCATACTAAACAAAGTATCAAAATGAGGAGCCATTGTTTTCTGACATGCTTTGCGTCTAGGCCTCCATTCTGTGTCCGACTCTTCTGTGAACCAGCTGCCGGTGACAGGGCAGACTAGCGTCAGGGTTCCACCAGTCCTCACACCTGTGCTTCACCTCCTCCGGATCCCCTGCGCACCCCCTGCCTCCCTGTCTGTCCCTCTGCCCCAGCACTTTGACCCCTGGCACAGGGACGCAGAGGCTCACAGACACAGAAGGGCAGGCCCCCTCCCCAGCGGGGCACTCCCTGGTGGGTTAAATCACCACCTTTGATGGGGCAGTCAAGGGCTTGACCCCGTGCCATCAGGGCTCCTTGTCCCCTTGTCACCTGCTATAACAAGGTCATATGGCCCTTGACCTCATGCTGGCATGGTGTCTCCTAGAACCTGTGCTGACCCAGAAAGGCTCCCCAGTGGGCGTCTCCAAGCAGCCGCAGGTTGGTGCTCTCCAGAAGGGCAGGAGAGGGGGCCTGAACATCTCTGCAGCACAGCTGGGGCCGGGGGCTGGCGGGGGAGGGGGGGCGGGGCCTGCAAGACTGGAAGCTTAGCAGGTCCTACATCAGGAAGGGGAAGCGTTTTTCATGACCACCACTCATGTCTGGGCACTGCCACTCTGAGCTTGTGGGGACGTGGGGCATTGGCAGTAAGTGGGGGCTGGCAGTGCCCTCAAGGAGATCCCCTCTGAACCCTACGGCATACATAGGTGGCCTCCCCTGCAGCCCAACACCAGGGCTCTTGTTCTACAAGTCCACGACGTCAGGGCCGAGCACAGAGGGGGCTGCTCCAAGGACTGCGGATGGCCAACTTTGTTGCTAACTAACAACGCGTCCTAACGAACGCATCAGTCCAGCAAGGTGGCACCCACCCAGCAAGGACCCATGCCCGACAGCAGACACCCCGCTTTGAGGGACAGACACTCCCACAGACGCCCAGAGGCCAGGAGCAGACAAGGAGCATGGAGAGGATGGTGGGGGAGGTCTCAGCTCCCAGGAGCCCGTGGGGGAGGGGGTCACCCAGGATTATCTGGACCACTGAGACTGGAAGGGATGGGAGGGGACTCAGCCGCCCCTCCAGCCCACACGTCAGAAGCAATGCCACAGGAGCGCGGAAGAGCTGAGGCCACTCACATTTAAAGGCTTTTGGTGAGGTCTCGCTGGTCTGAATCTTTGGGGCAAGCATGCGTTTGCCGAAAACCTGAGCGTCGAAACTTGCGTAGTCAAAGGTGACCTTGGAGAACTTCTCCAGCTCCTTGGCCAGGTTGACCCTGGGCGTGCTGGGGGCCACACTGGGCCGGTAGCTCCCGTACGAAGGGGTCTCCAGCTGCTTCGCGAAGCACATGGGCCTGGGCAGGGACAGAGAGCCCCTGAGGCCCAGCCCCGCCCCACCCCTCACCATCAGTCAGAATCCTACTCCCTCGAGACACACTATGGACCATGGCCCCCAGCTGCGACTGAGCCAGGGCTGCCTTCACCCAGCTCTGCCAGCAGCTGGAAGAGCCCGAGAGAGGCCCAGGACCCTGTAGAGGCAGGGGTGCCTCCAGGACATGCACCAGCTGCAGGAGTTAGCCCATGGCTGCCCTGTCATTGGCAGGACGAGGGGCCCCGGCTGAGGGAGCTCCCTGCGCAGGTCCTAGCCCTGCTTGAGGCCATGTCTTCCTTCCTGAGTTCTGGGGCTTCATAGGCTTCGACCGGGCACACAGGCCGGAAGGGAGGCTGCTGGCCAAGGCAGAGGGTGGTAGGGCCACCTGTGCACAGGACAGGCCACCTGCATGGAAGGACAGTCACCTGTGCTACAGCCATGACCACCAGGGCCACCAGTCACCAAGGCCACTGGATACTAGGGTCACTGGATCACTAGGGCCACAGGTCATCAGAGTCACAGGTCACCAGGGTCACCAGGTCACTGCCCCTTTTGAACCTCAGGAGAAGCTGTTCCCACAACCCTTCTCAGGGAGCACGCTGCGGTCAAATTGTGAAGGGGTGTGCCCCAAACTTGAGTGTGCCAGGAACCCTGGATCCCCTCCTCTAACCGAGTGTCCTACCCTGCTGGCCTGCTCCCTGGCACCTTGCCCCTTCCCTTGATGGGCACTTGGATCAAGGCAGGAGAGTGTGGAATCGACACTGGCGGGAAGTGGCCAGGAGCAGGGAGGAGGTAGAGACGATGCCTGGACGTGAGTGGGGCTGGCCAGAGGGCAGCTCCAAGGCCGAGGTCCCGCCGGGTGCGCGCAGAGGGAGGGGCGTGGGGGACTGCCGACAGGACTGTGAGGGAGAGGGTGGGTGTCATGGATTGAGTTCTGTCCCCAAAAGAAGTGTCCTTGGCTGGGGCTGGGGGGTGGGGTGAATAATGATATCACCACCCCCATGTCTCCAGGGGATACAGGAATGCTGAAAGCAGCTGAGCAGGATTTAGACGGGAAGAAGGCTCTTGTGTCTGAGAAGGCCCCTGGTGGTGCCATTTCTGCTTGAGCAGTGAGGCTGCAGGGGAGGGGCCACGGGGACAGTGGTAGGGGGCGGAGGGTGCTCTGCACTCACTGGGGCTCTCACCCCCATGTGGGGGGACAGGCATCAAGCAGAGAGATAAGAAAGGCTCAGGGTTAGGGAACCAGGACAACGGACAACAGGACCAGGGCTGCCTGGATCCGTCTGGTTCCTGCCCCCGGGACACTGGCCTTCACGTCCCACTCACCTGAGGATCCGGTCGGAATTGGAGCTGCTTTTGGTGGCGTCTCCCGGCTGCGGCTGCTGCTTCTCGTGGGATTTGGCTAACTTCTCAGCAGCAGCGATGGGGCAGCCGGACAAACTAGAGAGGACAGGAGGGCGCTGAGGCCTTAGCACTGCCCAGGTGCCGGCAGGGCCCTCAGTGCCTGTGGGATCCTGCCCACACCGCGGTGTAAGGGTATGTAGCCAGCAGGTGCCCCATGAGAGGGCGCCCTCTCGCTGCTCAGCTGGGTCTCGGAGCCCCCGTGGCAGCTGCTGCCTCTACTCTAGGAACCTGAGCCAGGCTCACACAGACAGGATGTGGCACCAGGCTCTGGCCAGGGGACCCCTGAGGGCACCTGTGAGGACAGTCCTGTCTCCCCTGCCCCTCCCAGGAGCACTGGCCATTTGGCTTGGGCCAGCCCGGGGCCTCCAGCCTGGCCAGCACTCTGACACCAGGGGCTTGGCCTCTCTCATCTCACTCACGTCCACTGTCACTCCAACTGGCCCACTGACTGCAGCCAGCCCCCACCCCATGCCACCGGGCTACAGAGGCCTCAGAGCCTCTCTCCCCTGGCCTCTCTCAAGATCCCAGGACCCAGCCTCGCAGCTCCCCCAGCCCCCCAGTCAGCACGCACGCACCTGCGGTGGGTGTTTCGGTTGCTGTTCACGTGGCCCTGCCCCGTGCAGCCAGGTGTGGGGCACTTCAACACATTCTCGTGCATGGCCAGGACTGTGGGGGAGGGAGGAGAACGGTTCGCTCAGCACCAAGGACAGCCCTCAGCCCCTGGTCTGGCCAAGACCCCAGGAGACCCCTCCCTGCCTCCTGAGGCAGTCCTAGGGTCGCAGAAGGTGGCTGGGCTGTGTGCACCCTCCAACTAATTCTCCCCGCTGCTGGCCCAAGGACCAGTGCTGTCCCACAGTCCTGCGGCCAGGGATACCCCCATTCCTGAACACATGCCGCTCCTGAGCCCTGCCAGCTGGGAACACCCCACTGTTGCACAGACTTCGTCCACCCCTAGCTCGGCACATCCCACTCTGCTCAGCCATCTCCACTCCCCAAAGACGCCAGCCACCCATTCTGGGAGCCGGGGTTTCTTGGGGGCCTCAGCTTTGCTGGCATCTGCAGGTCCCAGCCTTCCAGAGCTCAAGATGAGCCAGGCAGTTGGGCAAGTGGAAGGCAACAGCTGAGGGTAGGATGCAGGGCTGACACCTCGACACAGGGGCACCTCGACACAGGGGCCCCTGACCTCTGGGGTGGGGCAAACCCTGGCAGGGCCACTCACTCTCTGGGGGAATCCTGTCCTTGTGGGGGCAGCCAGACAGGCTGCGGTGGTGCGGGTACAAGCCGGTGACATGGCCCGTGCCGTCACAGCCAGGAGTCGGGCACTTGATCTCCCGCTTCTCAGCTCTTGAAGAGTCTGAAGGGAAGGAGAGGGCGCGGTGACCAGGTGAGAGAACATCCCTTCCTTCACAATGGCTGTCCTGATCACCCGAGGGCTGAGGGACCACTGGCTGAGGGGACCTCCAAGAAGGGGGCAAGGTCACAGAAGCCTCTCCCTGCTGCTTCCTCCCCCCACAACTGCGCCCCCTCCCAGAAAGGCCGCCAGAGCCCCGCTCCACCCCGGCCAGCCCTCTGCAGGAAGTGGAGACGTATGGCCCTAGAAGCTGCCCTGGGGTCCGGACACTGGAACCGCCGGCCCTGAGCTGCCTCTGTGTCCCCCGAGTCCCTTGCTGGGCTGTGCCCTCCACACCTGCCCCTGAAAGCAGAGCACCCTGCATCTGTGCCCCCCAGTGACCTCCTCATAGGCCCCCTGGTGACCCTTCGCTCTATCTAAGTTCCCCAGGTAGTGTCACTCCCCAATGCCTGCGACCTCCATTCCCCACCAAGACCTCCAAAGTCCATCCGTGCCTGCCTTACCCTGGTCTGCCCCCCCAACAGCTGTCTACTAGGTCCAGCTCACCTGGACTCCTGTCCCCACCTGTGTCCCCTCAATATCTATCCCTTGAGCTGGTCTCAGCAGTACAAGGCTCCAAGGAATCTGTCCCCTGAGCCTCTGCCTCCCTTTCAGCCATTTCTAGCCTTGTAACTCAGGTCCTTCCCCTCCCCAGCCCCCCCACCCCCAGTCTGTCTCCCACACCAAGCCCCAGGTTCCCTTATGCACCTCCTCCTCCTCCCAGACCTCAACCTGCGTCTGGAAGGTGAGGATTCCACTGTCCACTTCCACCCAGAGGCCAGCTGGCAGGCAGCTGAAGTGGGTGCCACGAC